TGCCTGTGGGGGCCTGGGCAGGAGTGGGACAGATCTGAGGGTCTCTGGCAGAAAGAGGGTGGGACCAGGGCAGAGCCCATCAAGCCGGATATGTGAAGTAGGCGAGGGCCATTTGCTGGCCACTTCCAGGTGATGGTGCATTTCTTCATTCCTCACAAAGTGTGACACCTCCCCAGCATGCACCCAAGGGGCGGGGGCGACGTGGCACAGGCTGGTTCCTCGCTGTTTCCAGACGGCCTTGTGGAGCTAAGACTGAATGCATTTCAGCATAGATGGCCACCACAAAATTGTACATTGGCTCCCGGCCAGCCAGGGCCAAGGCAGCAGGGGCCGTTCCCTCACTGTTTCCAAGATGGCTTTGTGGGCCACATGAAACCACTTCGCGGGTCACATCCGGCCCCCGGGCCTTGTGTTTGACATGTCTGTCTTAGAAGATTAAAGCTTGATGATTAATCCTGGCATGTGGAGTGAATTGTACAGTGGCTGAAAACAATTCTTTGCTGCCACAAGGAAAGCCATGTCCGAATGAGAAGGGTAACTTAGTCCATCTGCTTAGGTAATGAGTAAATCTGTCTGTGATGTGTCTGAATCTCCCTCACTCCTTGTATAAGCCAACTTGCTGCAACTGGAGTTAAGCTTTGCAATCCCTGCAATCCCTCCTGAAGAGTAACTGTACTTGATACAAGCTTGAAAGAAGTTATTTTGTCACTTAGTTTTTCTTATAAGTAAAACAGAAAAGGAGAAATTGGGATCTCACATCTAAGACTTTGTCCAGCTTATGAAGTATAAATGTATAGCACAATTATAAACCAAATTCTCGGATCTTGTAATAACTTGTGCTATAAGGTAAGTTCAAGGCAACCTGGGCTGAAGGGGAGGGTGCCTTTTGGCCAGGGGAGGGTCCCATTTTCACATGGCCCTGCAAAGAAACTGGTAGAACAGCAGATGCTCAGTGCTAAATGTAGCAGCCTCAGGACAATCTTTCTTGGACAACATTGAACCTGGATGATCTTTGGCAGTCTTATGTGCTGCCCTAGATTTGAGGCAGAACCAAGGGGGCAGTTGGGAAAATACAGGCACATGTTCTCCCCAGAAAGGTAGAAGAGTACAGATCTTTTGACCACCCAAGCTGGGAAAAGCTCTTTAGTCTCAACTTCCTCTTCCCAGCCTCGCAGCTCTCAACTGGAGCCTCGTTGGGGTTTAAAACGTGGCTACAGCAAGATCCCAACGAATTGCTTCATAGGGATGTGCTCAGGGCTGGCAGATCCTGGGCGAGGGAGAAGCAGCAAAGGGGCTCGCTGGCTTTGAAGGCGAGTTCCTGCAAAGTCCGGGGCAGAAGTGCTGCGGCGGGGGGAGCGGGGGGCCTTTGGATGGCCACAGCTTTCCTTCCGG